TTTTGACCTTACATTAACATTGTTCTGCTTCAATGTGGGAAGGTAAGTAGGCCTTGCCAAGCCTGATCCTGGGTTGTTGTCTTTACAAGGCCATAACACTAGACTTCTCTATGACCAATGCCCACCATTGGGGTCAGACTTACAAGGAAACCTTGATCATCATGGATCTCTTGATGACAGCCCCTGATGCAGTGTGAAGCACTGGTCAAGGTGTAGTGTCTGAACTGTTTTCCAGGACACCTTCCAGGTAGGGAGCAGATCACTGAGTTGGCCAGGGGAAATGAACTCAACAGCAAATCCAGGGACTAATTTGTGTGAATCATGGGCCTGCAGGTAAGTTTGAGTACAGTAAGTGTCTGTGTGTGGTAGAAGATGAGTCTCTGAAGCCTGGTCTGGATGTGGTAAAAAGGATCCCATGAAGTGGCATGTGCCAGCATCCCTGACACAGAGGGAAAGTTATCACTGACTTGCTCAACTGAAGAGCAATGGGAGACTGAGAGACTGCAGAGGTTGACAAGGGAGGCACCAGCTTCTCTGCTGTAGTTGGCCTCCAGCTCCATTCTGACCATTTGATCTTGTCCTGTTAACAGAGCCTGAAGCATATTAAAGTCTTCAACAAGGTCTTCCCAGCAGCTATCAGTTACTTCTAGAACCCTGACCATCTGGTGAGTCCCATGTGCACAGAAGAAGATCAGTCATTTTCTTCAAGAAGAGAGAGAAATTTTCAGTTTGTGGGTATCACCTGGTGTCAGACTGTGTTTCTACTGCATATCAGTGAAGGCAGGGTTGAGAAATGTTTGAGGATTCTGTTGAATTCTAGAAATGAGATGGGGAAATTTTCTGAATCCTCATTTTATATTTTACTTTTTTTGAGACTGGATCTCACTATATAGCCCTTACTATCCTGACACTCTGTGTAGAACATGCAGTCTCAATCTCATAGAGATTGAACTCCTTTCTCTGCCTCCTGAGTGCTGCGATTACAGATGTGGACTGCCATGCCTGGCTTCAAGTACTGTATGTATAGCATCAATGGTAAATTCCTCAAACATTTGAGGGAAAAGAGACAAGCCTTGTGCTTCTTTCACCCTAACAGCTTCAGGGATTGAAGTGAAGGTTCTTTCATCCAGGATGGACTACAAACAGCAGCAAAGTCCAAATCTAACCTTCAGAATAGAAGTCTATGTCCACCAGTGAACAGATACCTGGAGGTGAGAACTGCTGTCATGAATTCTTCTAGGGACCCCGGTCAGTGGGCTGGAGGGGGTATGCCCTAGGTGATACATCCTTGGAAACAAGGCACAGAGCATGCAAAGGCTACTCTCTAACCCTGTTTTTACAGGATCCCCACTGCAGTCCAGGCACAAATCCCATGACTTCAACCTGACCAACCAAGAGCGTCCAGATTGGCTACCTGGTCTAATTGATTGAGTTCTTTCCATTTGAGCCTTGAGATCACAGCTGAGGACA